GTTTCAGTATTCTGCTGGGATATAGCCAGTTTTCTAGCACCATTTGCTAAATAAATTTTCTTTTCCTCACTGGGTTGTCCTGTGCCCTTTGTAAAAAATCAGTTGGCGGGGCCTGGCAGGTGGCATGGTGGTTAAGGGCGCTGGACTCCCACATGGCCAACTGTGGTTCGAGTCCTGAACCTGGTGGATTGATTTCTCATTTTCTCTCTCTCTCTCTTTCTCTTACTCTGTTTCTCTCTGGTAAAATTAAAATAAATAAGTAAGCAAATAAATAAATAAAGTTAAATAAAATAATTCATTAGAGAAAAAATTAAAATAAAACAAATCTGTTGGCTTTATGTTTTGGGGTTTATTTTTGGGTTCTCAATTCTGTTCCATCAATCTACCTACCTATTTTTGTACCAATACCATGCTGTTTGATTACCACAGCTTTGTAATATATTTTGAGGTCAGGAATTGAGATGCCTCCAATTTCATCCTTTTTGCACAGTATTGCACTGGCAATATTTGACCTTTCATAATTCCAGACTAATTTTATAACTGTTCTTTGTATTTATCTGAGGAATATCTCTGGTAGTTTGATTGGGATTACACTGAATTTTTAGATGAATTTAGGTGAGATTCAGTTTGATTATATTTATTCTTCCAATACAGGAATATGGGATATCTTTCCACTTTTTTGTATTATTTTCAATTTCTTTTAATTTTTTTATAGTTTTCCATGTAGAGGTCTTTCACTGCTTTGATTAGGTTTATTCCTAGGTATGTTATATTTTTTATGGCTTAGTTTGTTCATTGTTGGTTATAAAAATGATATAGATTTTTGTTTCTTGATTTTGTATTCTGCCACTTTACTGTATTTATTTATCACTTCCTGTAGTTACTTTGTGGATTCTTTTGGATTTTCTGTGTATATAATCATGTCATCTACAAATAGAGGTAATTTAATTTCTTTTCCTGTTTGAATGCCTTTTGTTTCACTGTTTTGGCTAGAACCTCCAGTACTATGTTAAAAAGAGTGGAGAAATAGGCAGCCATGTCTCATTCTAGATTTTAGTGAAAAAACTTTTAGCTTTTTCCCAGTCAGTATGATGTCAGGTATGGGTTTGTTATATATAGCTTTTAGTGTAGTGAGGTATGTCCCTTCTATGCCAATTTTGCCAAGAGTCTTAATTATGAAGGGATGTTGTATTTTATCAAACACTTTTTCTTCATCGACTGACATGATCACATGGTTTTAATCTTTCCTTCTGTTAATAAGATGTATCACATTTATTGTTTTGTGTATGTTGAACAATCCTTGCATCCCTGGAATAAAGCCTACCAGGTCATGGTGTATAATATTTTTAATGTGTTGTAGAATACAATTTGCTAGTATCTTGTTGAGAATTTTTACATCTCTACTCATCAGGGATATTGGTCAATAGTGTTTGTTGTTGTTGTTATGTCCTTGTCTGTTTTGAGGATCAGGGTGATGGAGGCTTCATAGAATGAATTTAGGAGGGTTCTTTCCTTTTGGAACAATTTGAGGAGAACTGGGGTTAGTTCTCTTTTAAAAAAATTTGTAGAATTTGGAAGTCAACCCATAGGGATTTGGGCTTTTCTTTGTTAAAATACTATTGTTGGAGTCCAGAAGGTGGTGTAATGTTTATGTTGCTGGACTCCCACGTAGTTGACCATGGTATTTTAGGGTTCTTTCTGCAGTTAATTTCAATTTAATTCCATTGTTGTTGGAGGAGATGTTGGATATAGCTTCTATACCCTAGAACTTATAAAGGCTTGTTTTGTGACCTATGGTATGGTCAATCTTTGAAAATGTTCCATGTGGGGGGTGAGAAAAATATGTATTTTTTTGGTTCTTGGGTGAAAGTTCAATACATGTCTATCAAGTCCATTTGATTTATGATTTTGTTTAGATCCTATATCTCTTTGCTTATTTTTTGTATATGTAGGGTGTTGAGATCTCCAACAATTATTGTGTTACAGTCTTTTACTACCTTTAGATCAAGCTGTCTTTCATGTATTTGGGTGCTCCAGTGTTGGGTGTATAGATATTTACAAGTGTTATGTCATCTTGGTGTATTGGCCCTTTCAATATTATAGTGTCCTTTTTTGTTTCTTTATACAGTTAAACTCTATTTTGTCTGTTATCAGTATCACAACTCCAGCCTTCATTTGGTCTCCATTTGCATAGAGTATCATTTTCCAGACCTTTGCTTTCAGTTTATGTATGTCTTTATGCATGAGGTGCATTTCTTTCATTTCTGTTTGTATCTCTTTAGTTTTCCTGATATGATACTCCTTGCAGTACTTCTTGAAGAGTTGGTCAAGTGCTGATAAATTCTTTCAGGTTTTGTTTATCTTAGAATGTGTTTCCCTCTGTAGTGAATTAGCTCTGTGCCCACTTCCCTCTTCTACAGTGGGTTGTAATGTGGTATCCACTGCAGAAGTCTTGGGTTCGGATTTACGAAGAGGAGCTTCTCTCTTTTTATGGGTGGGTATAGTGAGGGGAGAGGATTTTTTCAGAGCTTCGTAGTGTTCAGATGTTCAGCTCCTATATACCTAGACCTCTCTAGTCCCTGTTTGGGTAGGGACTTCCAACTCTGAAATGAAGGATCAGGATTGAGGGTATTGGAGCTGAACCAGCCCTGCCTCCTAAACCCTAGACAGGGCAAGAGGCTTCATGTAGAGAATGCCTGCTAAAAGGCCTGCTTTCCCTCTGCTCCTTCTAACTCTGAAACTGCAGGATTAGTATTGGGGGCACCGAGGCTGAATAAGCCCTGCCTCCCACACCCTAGACTTAGCAGGAGGCTTGTGGTGGAGAAACTCCTGCCACCATGGTTTTTATCACAGGGCATGTAGACTCACCAGAGAGAGACAGAGAGAGAAAAAATGAAAAATCCCCCTACCCCCCAAGGGGATAGTCATATGGCAGTCCCTTCTTTTCCATTCTCCTCCTGGAATTTTGGGCATGCAATCATACATGCTCAGTATTATTTTCAAGACTCTGGGTCTGGGACTTGAACTGTGGTTGGCCATGTGGAAGTCCAGCACTCCAAGATATAATTTTAATTCTTTTGAATGGGGCTACTGTCCAAAACAATTCAATTTTACATTTCATTTGTTTTTATGTCCCACTATACTTTTAAAAGTATTAGGTTGTTGGCTGCATAAAGATTAAAAAAAAAATTAGGTTGTCAGGAAAGTCATGACTTGTGTTTCTATGCAAAAATGTGTCACAATTTTCCCAACAACCCAAAAGTTACACTCATATTCAATTCAGAAGCTTATATTAGCTGCTACAGATTTCATCACATACACAAATTATAAGTTTATGTACTGGGTCTTCAGAAAAGTCATGATGCATTTTTGCATAGAAAACTGTCATGACTTTTTTGATGACACAATATAAATTCTGAATAAGAGCATGATAACTATATCCTTAGAAAATTCTGTAAATGCAATTCAGGGTCATTATAATTTTAAATCAAGGTTCTTAGAAACATTTAAGGATAATTTCCCATAAATATTTTAGAGGCGTTCACTAATGAAACACAGTTCTCTAAAAATTGGATTTTTATTCAATAGTGTTTGGTGATAAAGGCAATAATAGGTTACTTTTTTTTCTAGGGAAGTTTTGTTATGTGAGTTGATAGTGAATGTGGGGCTTAATCTTTACTAATTCCAATGTAAACAAATGAATTTATACTCAAAACAACCTAAAGATACAGAAATGATGCAGAAAGAAAAAAAAAAATAAGGTCCAAAGAACACATCTAATTATGAGATGAATAAAACAATAAGGTATCAAAATTTAGAAATTATCATATTTAAATCTAACAAGAGTCAGGCTAATTATTAGCTGAAATACAATGGTTTAAAATGGGTATAAAAATATGGCTGCAACATTCAAAATCACTGGTCATGTAAAAAATGTACTCATATATTTTATGTATACAAGTAATATCAACAGTTATGCTGGAATTCCCGATGCTATTACATTATAAATAACAATATGTGCCAAGTATCCTACAGAGTATCTTATGAAGTGGTTTTTATACTTTTATCTCATTTAATCTTGATTGTAACTCTATTACAGAGATACAATTATTCTCATTTTTACAAATGAGGAGTTAACATAAATCTGCCCAAAATCTCACAGATGATAAGTGGCTGGCTGATACTGAAGTCTAGCACTAGCACTTAACTACCATGGTATTCAGACTCAAATGTAATTGGGACATTTGTCTGTCAAACATATTTTTTCTAACTTTAAAAAAAAATTATTTTATTTTATTCATGATAGAATGTATGTATAGACATTTGTGAGAGAGAGAAGAGAGAGAGAAGCATTGTCATCACACTTCTATCACCTTTCCTCTGCCCTCCAGCTTATCAGGATCTTGGGCATGCACACATGTGCCCAGTGTATTTAAAGTAGACTAGGTGCAGGGTCTGAACTCATGGTGTGCTATGTGGCTTCCAGTACTGCAGTCTAGTGTGTTACCAAGTCTGCTACCAAAGTCTGGGCCTAAACTGGACCTTTTAAAGATCAGATTTTGTTGAATAAAAAAATAACACTTAAGATTAAATGCTCATTTTTGTTCTACAAAAAGTGAATCTATGAAAAAGAGTAAGTATACTAAGCAGTTGGGAGAAATTCAGGGACCACAAAATGAAGTATGAACTGAGCTCCCATATTCCTTATTTAAAGGAATGTAACATATTTAAATGCTATTCAGTTACAAAATGCCATGATGAAAATTCTTTTTTAAAAATTTTATTTATTATTGTTATTATTATTTTTTTAATTTGCTATAGGGCACATGTGCTCACCAGAGAGACAGAGAGAAAGAAGTAAAGTGAGAAGGCAAGCTTGCCAGGTCTGGGACTTGAACTGTGGTTGGCCATGTGGGAGTCCAGCACCTTAACCACTATACCACCTCCTGGCCCTGTGAAGTTTCTTTACAGATATTTCTCATTTGATTTAATTTTCATACCTTCCAGATGTATTCTTTAATATAGCAAGAGCATCTGGATAGCCATCCATGTTGTAGTCTCCGATATGAAGGGTAATTGGAATGGGTATTTCAGCTGGTCGTTGTTCCTGTACAAATGGCACAAAGCCCCAGAGTGTGCCCTTATTGGTGAAATCTTTTAATACTGGAACCCACTGTGGATTAAGAGAATAATAATAGATTTTATATTTATTTTAGGAAAAAATTCACCATTTCCAAAACAAATGATCCAGTAAAAGTTCTCAAGATAAGTTTCATTTTACTTAAGTTCTTTATCTCTACAATATAGTGGGCATTATTGTTTACTTGGATGATTAGCTGATTGATACTCTCAGAAAAAAAGTAGTCTCCCTTAAATTGACTACTAGTTATCATTGCTTGAACTAGCACAAAGAGTCTAAGAAGGTTTTTCACAAAATCTTTGGACTGAACAGATATTAATACCCATCTAGTTGAATTGCCCAATTTAAATTCCGTGTCATGTGGAAATACAATATCAAATGAATATTCAAAAAAATAGAGCAAACTCTAATATCATCTAACATTGATGTCATTTCAGGAAGACCAATTTAGGAAGAACGTTAGAACAACATAGAGTCTCCCTTGCTCTCTTTTTACATGAGGATGACCTTCGTAATCTCCCTGGAACCAAGCAACTCAAGAGGCTTTCCAAATCATACCAAGCCTGACAACCTTGCAACTGACTGGCACTTCTCTACCAAGCAGAATGAGCTCTGTCACTAAATGGTTGGAAGCAACAATTTTAGCAAAGTCCTTTATTTGCATATAATCTATATTAAAGATAACAGGGAGAAAGGAATGACTGTAAAATGAGCTCGTGGCACCAGCCTGAGGCGTGCTGGTTAGGATAGCTGGATCCCACATGGCTGACTGGGTGGCTCAAGTCTTGGACCTGATGGCTTCAAAAACATGCCAAGTATGTATGTGAGGGTGTATGCTCAAAATCCTGAAAGGAGAATGGAGAAGGTATTGTGGTATGGCCATCCTCCTGGGTGGGTGGGGGAACTTTGTAACTTTTTCTTTCTCTCTCTCTCTCCTCCCCTTCCTCCCTGGTGAGTGTAAGTGCTCTATAGAAAAACATAAAACACTTATGGAAATCCCTCTTCTGATGACACAGAATCTCTTTTTAATAATCTAAAGCACTTAAAAATTGGAAGAGTGCTGCCAGGGAGGCGGGCTGCGCTGAGCGAGTCACGCGTCCTAACGAAGCAGCCGCCTGGTACTCGCGGATGTTCATGGTCTATGCTGCCGGCGCCTGGACACTCATGGGTTTCTTCAGCCACAAAAAGAACATGCAGCCAGTAGATACGGTAGAGCAGAAAGATGTCTCAACAAAGGAACACCCAAAGGGATTTTATGTGGAAACAATGATCACATATAGAGAAGACTTTGTTCCAGTTACTAAAAAGATCCTCAACTATCTCAAATCATGGACTGGTGGCCCTGGTCCAGAATCATGATTGACTGCTGAATTATGAAAACCAGGACTTTGGTTCAATGTAAATTTGACAAACACTCTGATTTTCATTTTGTTTGTAAAAAGTTAATAAGTGCATATGTTTAATTTAATTTTGCTGTAAAATATAATCACTAATAATATACAATAAATATTTCCTTGAAGAAAAAAATATTGGAAGAGTAGCAATCATGCCATTAGAATTATAGATAAGCCCACAATCAGCTAAGAGTATGAATGTTGGCGCATAACCTAGAGATGTTTGAATAGAAGCAGGCATTGCTACCTTGAAACAGCAGGATGCCAAATGTGCCTACAGATATTTATATCTATATCTATATTTATTTTTATTACAAAAACAGGTGACTCGGACTCGGGTAGTGACTCAGCAGTAACACAAGTGTATTCACGTGGTCCTGAGATCATGTCCTGGGATCTCTCTGAATAAGCAGGGCATATGTGTGCATGTGCCTATAATCTAGGCTGAGGCTGGGGGTGGACTATGGCTTTAGATCCCTGTTGAAGGCACCTGTTTGTCTCTCTCTGAGAATGTATAAGTAAACTTAAAAGAAAAGAACAATAGCAAAAAGCAGGTGACACAATTAACTGGTTACAAGCCATAGTCTATTAAAAATGGCTTCTCTAACATTTCATAGTATTTCCAAACAATGTGTAATTTGTCATGGCAGAATAAAAATCATGATAAAGACATAGTTATAGAAAATGAGCTGCTTCTAAAAAAACTGGCCTGCATCTTTAATCAAATTTTTTTTTCATTCTTTCTTCAAGAAAAAGGTATTATTTTATATATCACCATAATGATTTGCTTAACTTTGAAAAAAGTTGTTGGTTTTGTTGAGAAGGAGAATGGGAAATTTCACAAAAGGCCAAGTTGCCACAGATTTCTGAAGAGGATGGAAGTCTATTAATGTGGATAATCCACAGTTTTCCTATTAAGTTAAATGTATTAGGGTCCAAAATTAAAACTATTTTTTCACATAATGGGACATCCTTGTTACCAAAGAACTATAACATATTCATTCTTACAGAGACAGAAGACTATATAATTTGAAAAGAATGGGTTGATAGGTGGTATGGTGGTTGAGGTACTTAGACTTCCACAAGGATGACTGTGGTTCAAGTCCCAGACCTGGCAGTTTGCTTTCTCATTCTCTCACTCTCTGTCTCTCCGGTCAAATTAAAATCATAATAATAACAACAAATAAAATAAAATAAATAATTCTTATTTTTTTTTAGAGGTTTTTGCTATAGGGCATGTGCGCTTGCCAGGCAGAGAGAGAAAGAGAGACAGAAAGTGAGAAATC